ACAATGGCGAATTTGTACTGGAGCAAGCGTTTTACCTCGCAACGCGTGCTTCGCATTAATGTCCACTCCATGCGGTCAACGATTGAGTATACAATCATTGTGACCACGCGACTCGGAACGCTTTGCACACGTTGTCAAAACAAGCTTAATACTTGTAATTAACAAGTTTGTACGTGTCTATTTAATCTAAGATTTTTTGCTACTTGAAAACAGAAAAGAACAAATTTGTTGTTTAAACAATGTGTGCACAGCGGTTTCGAGTCTCTTAGTCACAGATTGAACGATACCTGCAGAAGCGAAGGTTCCTTCGCATACCTGTGCATGACATCAAAACCGGGAGATAAGAGTGTTCCGATTGCGATATAGCGCACTCGAATCGAAAATGTTTGGCCTTGCTTGTTGAATACTTCTGGTTTTGATCCATCTACTTGCTCTTGTTTACCTTATTAGGCAAAAGCAAACAGTACGGTAGGACATTACGTCACGCCCAGGAAGAAAATGTGCACTTTCGCGGTATCTTTTTCTCTCACTCAGTGATAAAAATCTAACCTAGACATTTTGACGTTAGCATGGACCGGCGCAAGATTCCTGCGCTACGCGGTGGCGAGTGTGGCGGAGCGTGTTTACGTCATGAAGTTCCATGGAAGACTCATTACATAAATTTCAACTTAGTCGTGTTTATCACTTGACATAGTAGTTGTTCTTCTGAGTCATCTATACTTCCTTTCTTTCCCGCAAAAACGTTTTTCGTGTTCAGTGGTGTGATTTTAGCTTCTGCGCATTTTACGATATCTTGAGGCTTTGCATGTCATCTTTTCTTTTCTTTTTCAAGTATGTCAAACCCCGGTACGGGGGCTTCTATCCAGAAAGATCTACTGGATGTTTGGAGGATAGCCAATGTTGAAGACTTCCAGCAGAAACTAGTATTTTCCCTGAATATTCGAAGGTTGGAGCATATAAGTCATGTGCAGGACAAGGAATTTCAGGTATTTTCTTTTGAATTAGTGGTGAATAGTCAAATTCATATACTTGTAGAGTATTGGATTGACCCCAGCCCAGATACAGGACCTGAGGAGGGTTGCCGTCAATGTTCAGGAAGTAGCGAATAGAAGGAATACTAGTGGGGAAGTAGTGTATGTACAAAACAATAATCTCGCAGATAGCAGTTCATCCGAGCTGAATAAAGCTATTATAGCAAAGGAACAGGTAAAATTGTTTCATTCTTGATATTCTTGTAATTTTATCTTACTTTTTCCAGATCAAAATTCTGGAAACCATTGGCGAAGGGACATTTTCTGTGGTAAAACGCGCAATATGGTATCATCCCGGCGGTAGTAAAATTGACGTTGCGGTGAAGATCTTACGGGACGTTTCACCTTCTCTAGTCGAAGATCTTGAAGTGGAAGCAAGTCATCTACTCAAGCTTCAGCATTCCAATCTTATTCGACTGTTTGGAATCGTTCGACCTGCAATGATGGTCAGTTTTCATTTCGTCTTTTGAATTTCCTTTTTCATCGCTCAGATCAGTTTATATTGAATTTGTTTTTCTTTGATGTTTTTCAAGACTGCATTAGAAATTCGCAGCGCACTTTTTATACATGATTAAGCGAGACCCGCGGACCTGTTCAATCTGCTTTCTTCTTAGAGAACCGGTTCGCTCCGCACTCACTCAGTCTTTCTTTTCGCAGAGAGTTGATTGTCTCGTAATCTGAGTAATGGGCAACTTGTGTGCATCCATGTACTTTTTTGGGTAAAAATAGCGTGGCAGTTCTTTAGCTGTAGGCCCTCGCAAATGTGATAAACAATTGAATATGATCATCAAGCTCATAAGACTTCATAATTGTCGAGACGGGCAGTACGACCGTTGGGCTTTCCAAAAGTAGCTGATTTATCAGGCCAGCGTCGGATGCTAGGAAAAAAGCCAGGATGATTGAGAAGTTCTGTTGCCCGCACTGCTTTCGTATGTCACTGTAAATAAGCATTAAGAACAAGCATAATCCTCTCACGTTATGACCAGTCAAGACATTCTTCTGCTTTTCAGGTTTTTGAACTATGCGAAGGCGGAGAATTACTGACACGTTTGCGAGATTCGAGCAAGCCTGCGCCCCTGGTCACGCTTCTTCTTGAGTACTGCCTGCAAATAGCAAAGGCTCTTACATTCCTGGAAAGTAAACATGTAGTACACAGAGATGTAGCTGCTAGGAATGTTCTTCTCAGCAAAGATGAGAAGGTATGTCAGTATATCACGTTGATTACCAGAACAACTATCAGGTCGTCCAGAAAGTTTGCTAGCACCATTTTATGAAAGTTGTAATTTCTTCCTTAGAAGGATTTCCAAGGTTAAAGGCAGTGTTGGCAGAATCTTTTCCCAATTTTTCATTTGTTCGGAGCCTCCTCCATGAGAAACCCGTATCTGGGCTTTCCAGCGCATGAAAATTGCAAAAATGAGCTTTTTAGTGAAGTGTTCCAGGTCCGCATTCAGTGGTAAGTACACGTAAGTGGGAGAGTAAACGACGGAGGCGAGGCGCGGAAGACTTCCGGCTATTGCGGACCTGTAAAGCCTTGGAAAAGGCTCATTTTTGCCATTTTCATGCTCGGAGAAGTC